TCGGAAATGGTTACTGTTTAACATAAAATTGTAAATTGTGGTAGAATTGGGTAAATTTGGTCTCGCCAATACCTGACAGAAAATTGACTCGATACACCGCTTTTTTCGAGGGAGGAAAATCGTCCAATGTATTCTCGCGCCTTGGTGAGGCGAGAGTGAGTGACAGACTCTTACTGAGTAAAAACCACCCCGTTCCTACTCCTGCTCTTCGAGCCGGAGGACCGGCAACCCGTTAAAGCCTTCCCCGGCTCCGTATCAGGCATCAGCTCTATTGGGCCCCATCGTGAAACAACACTTTTTTTTTAAGGAGGGAAAATCATCGAATGATTTCTCCCGCTCGGGTGAGGCGGGAGGGAGTGTCAGACTCTTATTGACTAATAACCACCCCGTTCCTACTCCTGCACTTCGAGCCAGAACCTCAGTAACGCGTTAGGTTCTCCTAAAAACACTAGCGTTGTGATTCATCTTGTGAGTGAGGTTTTAACCTTGACTCTTTGACCTCCAAAAGGCCAGTAACCCGTAAGGAGTTACAATTTTACTCTCCGTTGCGGGTGTCCATAGGCGACGCCGATTGCTTACGATCAGTTGATACATCTGCTCGTTTACGTTCGAATAAGCCGGTAAGCCGTAATTTCTTGCAGACATGTAAGAAAGTATTCTCTGTACTTGAGGTACATATTTCCATGTTGTTCATTTGAAAATGTGCAAACATTCCTTTCCTTTCAAAGATCATTGTTCACCGGGTTAGTCACCGTGTTGATATAACATTGTGATGATTGTTATATTTCTTGCATTTCTCCAGTTGTAGGTTTTGCATTATTGTACTATATATGGCTCGCCCTCCACGGAATCAATTACATAACTAAATAATAATACGCATTCTTGGTGGTGTCACAGTATAGAAAAATGACGTGTGTTGTAGCGAGCGTTCTGGCGAAAGTTCTGGTTGCATAGGGAATGTAATCTCGCGAGATTGGGGCGAGTAGAATCTCGGGAGATCAGAAATACACACTCGCGAAATCTCGCCTATATCCAGATCTGACATTATTTGTTTTCAACCATGATCGTCCCACTGCAGGGCAAAGGCCTCACTAGCCTCCTTCTACTTCTCTCTATGTAAAGCTTGTTGCGGCCAATCCTTGTCATACATGTTCAATTCGTCCCGCCATCTCCTTTTGGGCCTATTTTTTTAAGGGGGGACAATCATCGAATGACTTCTCTCGTCTGGGTGAAGTGGGAGGGAGTGTCAGACTCTGACTGACTAAAAACCACCCCGTTCCTACTCCTGCACTTCGAGCCAGAGCTCCGGTAACCTGTTAGGTTCTCCGCGACATCTCCTTTTGGGCCTGCCGCGAGAAGAATAATTAATCATGACGAGATTCAACTAGAGCGTTCGCTAAGGTACTCGTCATCATCAGCCTATAAGCGGTCCATTGTTGATCAGAGGTGTCTACTCACACGAAGATTTTGCCATTAATCACCAAGCTTGCTCAATGCGGGTTGGCGATTTCCAATTTATAATTACAGAGATTTCACCGTTTATCAGTGGTTTCTTAAATATTATTAGAAAGTGCATAACTCGTATAAAGTCACATTGGTGCATAAGAAGCGGGTTTCTTAAACCTCAGGGCCACTACGTCTACCGGGATATTACTGATTAAAAACCACCCCGTTAACCCCGGTAACCCGTTAAGTTATCCGGGGCTTTTCAGCTCCTTAATGCAAATATGTAATTGAATTGTATGTTTGTGTTGTTACAGCAAGGAGTGGCGCGTGGGTAGCGCGGTGATGGCGGTGGCGGGCGCCCCATGAGCCGGCTGCTGTGCTGCCTGCGTGAGCGCCGAGCCGACATGGGCGCCGCGCTCTCGCATCCTCAGGTACCTACCAACTTACGAGCTGCTAAAGTTGAATTCTTCGTTAGAGTTTCTTCAGGTCACTCGCCTGGTGGTAAGCGATGATAGGACCTAGGATGGAAATGAAACACACCTGCATAAACAACCTCGAGTCTTTGACTCCAGGTTGGTGCGGTAGCTGGACAACCGCTGCTGCGCAAAGTGTAGCTGGTTCGATTCCCGCAAGGAGCAACTCTTTGTGTGACTCCTCAAATTGTTGTTTCGGGTCTGGGTGTCATGCTTATGTGAACTTGTATGTTTGTAAATGTACACACGACACAGGAGAAAATCCTAGTGTGAGGCATCGTTATTTATTAAATAAATACATAATAAATATAGTTTAGACTGCCTCGTTGGCGAGTGTTCGCAAGTGCGACTTTCGGGCAAGGGGTCTCGGGTTCGATTTCTGGGTCGGGCAAAGTATTACTGGGTTTTTAAAAAAAGTCAAAGTGGTGGCACAGAGTCTGGAATTGTGCCCGGTATATGGCAATATGCTCACCCCCTATTACACGGGACTCATAACGTAAATAGTGAAAAGTGGGTGTTACATTGTACAGTGGCATTAAGTGCCGTAATTTGCACCTCTGCTTACTCCTCCGGGGGTAAAAGGCGTGACAATATGTTATGTAAATATAGTTTATTTGCTAAATAGATATAGCACTTTTACCTTTCAACAAAGATACGCATTAAGCACCAACCGATTATTTTACAATTTTTATTTTTGACTCTATAACTTGTAATTGTCTTCTAGAAACTTCTGAATGTGCTAAACTAATGTGTTTGTGATGTGCAGGAGGGCGAGGCGTGCGACGGCGCCGGCGTGGCGGCCGCGCCTCCCACCATGGCAGATGTCATACGGTAAGTCTAAGTCTATCGTACCTTTTGCAATACTGTAATAATTAATACAACACCCACGACTGTATAATAAGTAATACAATTGCCTCTTGGTCGAGTGGTCGCAAGTGCGACTACCGGGCAAGGGGTGTCGGGTTCGATTCCCAGGTCAGGCAACGTACTACTGGGTTTTAAAAAAATCTCAGTAGTAGGACGGAGCCTGGAATCGTGCCCGGTATATGGCAATAGGCTCACCCCGTATTACATGAGACTTATAACATAAATAGTGAAAAGTGGGTGTTACATTGTACAGTGGCATAATGTACACCTCTGCCTACTCCTTCGAGGATAAAAGGCGTGATGTTATGTTACGGCGTGATGTTGTTAACACGCACGAACCGCTTCGCATCAAGCTTCCTTGTGCGTACTGCTTAGGAGTGGAATTCTTCGCCAGAGTCTGTATTTCCTGAAGGGTATAACCTGGGTGTCTTCAAGGCCCGAGTGAATAGGTTGCTTATGGGACGACGTGCTCCATCGTAGACCGCGGCATCGCTTACCACCAGGCGAGATAGTGGACAATCGTCGGCCCAGCAAATATATAAAAAACTTTGCTCTACCTGGGTGTGATCCGACAGAGAACTAAAGTTATCGACATAGCCCAAAGGATTAGTAAGCTGAAGTGTCAGTGCGCCGGTCACATTTGTCGAAGAACCGATAACTGTTAGGGTAAACGTGTTCTAGAGTGGAGACCGCGTCTACGCAAACGTAGTGTAGGGCGCCCTCCAGCTAGGTGGAGTGACGACATCCGCAAGGTGGCTGACAGTGGTTGGATGAGAGGAGCTGAAGACCGAGCTCAGTAACGTGTTATTGGAGAGATCTATGCCCAGCAGTGGACGAACACAGGCTGATGATGATGATGTGGGAATCGAACCCGATACCCTTTTCTTAAAAGTCTTGCAGAACTTGTAAACTTGGATCAATAAAGCTATAAAAGTCAATTTTATTTAGACCAACCAGGCACTTTTGAACGTCAAACAAAAAAAATAATGTCAGTATGTCAGTCAGTCCCCTAGTTGCTCGTTCCAAAGTGTAGGTTCCTATGGAGAAGGACGAGCAAGAAACTCCATAGGTTACTCTTTTTCAGTTAAACAATCCAACAATGTAACTGCTCTATTAGATATTTTTATTTTTGTGTTTAAGTAAATGTGTTACTAAGACCTGTTTCTCTGCTTACCCCACAGAGAGAGGAAGAAGAAGGCTGCGGGCTCCGGTCTCGGCACGCTGCGGCGTCGTATAGCGCTCGTCCGTCGTCCGCGAGACAACCGACCCGATAGAGGTAATTATATTATGAACTAGCTCTACGAGCGACTTCGCGTAGAAAAAGTGGCCAAAGATACTCCATAGTACATCAGCTACCTTCCAATAAAAGTCCCATCAAAATCGGTCCAGCTATTCCAGAGATGGACCGATTTCAATATTACAAACAGACACTCTAATTTTATTTATCTGTATAGATTACTGTGTTTTCGTTCAGCAGTCGTTTTTGCGCTGGCTAGATGGCACTGGTGTCGATTTGAGTCCGTTAGTCTTGTGATGTCGAATGATTGTACATACGTACAGTGTGCACTAAAGTGACTGTAACTTAGTTTTGTGACGTAAACATATATATATTTTATTCGTAACCAACTGGCTCAAACTATAATAGGAATTTTAAGACAAAATACTAAAGCTTATAATTCGGTAGTTGACAGGTAATCAAATTCAATACTTTCATTGAAATGTCAAAAACGATACTTTTCTATGAATTTTGTAAGAGATCGCAACTTATAACGTCATCATATTTCTGCATCAAACAGCTAACTTATTTCTTAAAATTAGCGAGAAAAATTCCAAAAGTAGGTAAATTGGGATGAGAGTATGATTATTTTTTAGTTGAAACAATTTATTTGAAACCTACGAAATTAGACAATTGAATAAACGATTATACAATATAGCCAAAGAAAAAGATTTTTTTAAGTCAAGGATACAACTAGGGGATTAATATCGCACGACATATCAATACATAGTATAAAACAAAGTCGCTTTCGCTGTATGTCCGTATGTATGCTTAGATCTTTAAAACTACGCAACGGATTTTGATGCGGTTTTTTTTAATAGATATAGTGATTCTTAAGGAACGTTTGTATGTATAATACATGCATATTGCACCCGTGCGAAGCCGGGGCGGGTCGCTAGTTATGATATATAAGGCTACAACGCGTGCTCTATGTCCACAGCGACGTTGATGTAGTCAGACGGTAAGACCAAAGTCCGGCGACGTCGCGCTACTCCACCCAACGTCGCTGTCGACATGTATCGGAGGACATTTCGTATCCTTGCTTTACTTATTCATGAATTATTTTAGTTCATTTTTAGCGTTATTACAAAATGTAAAAGAGTTGAAATTCGATCGAATTTTAGTCCGATTGTGAAACATATCCACCAGCTTTCTATATCAGAAACCTTAATTTCTCCTTCTCCAGGTTGCGAGCACGCGCGCTTCATCCGCTCGGTAGTCAGTTCCTGGCGGCTGGCGGAAGTGTTCCTGCTGTGCGAGGAGTTGGAGGCCGGCGCTGCTCTCCGTGACCTGGTCACCCAGGCCGAGCTCGCCAGGGAACCGGCCGCCGCGCTGCATGCTGACCTGGCGCACGCCTACAGAGACAGGTGAGACAAAAAACAAGACGAGACAAAAACAAACAACAACGTTTCAAACAACCGACTTCAATCCCCTCTTTTATTGAAGTCGGTTAAATAATATACTAAAATCTTCTCTTAAGTGTAAAAATCACCAACCGAGGGCTGGGCTCGCTGCCATTGCAGCGGTAAGTCCCCTCCTGCCTTGGAGTGGCTTGAGAGACGCTACGGCGTCCTCACCTACCGCCTGACGCAGGTCCTCACCGGACATGGAATTTTCGGGAGGTACCTGTGTCTGATGGGGCGGGAGGAAACGCCCGGGTGTCATCACTGCGAGGACCGCCCTGAGGACACGGTGGAACACACAGTGGGAGAATGCCCTGCGTGGGCTGAGCACCGCCGTGCCTTCAGGGAAGTGATCGGTGATGGCGACATCTCGCGTCCGGGCCTAGTGCAGGTCACGATGCGGAGCGAGGGGGACTGGGATGCCGTCTCCTCCTTTTGCGAAGCAGTCATGCTAGCTAAGGAGGAGGCGGGACGCGTCCTCTCAACCCATCCGTCGCGAAGGACACTCCGGGCGTCGGGGATCGCGGGACTATCTCCGGCCACCGTCAGCGCGGGCCTGCGGACATAGAGCATGGGTGGCTCCCCGTCCGACCAGAAACAGACCCGAGCGGACGGCGCCGAGCGGTCCGTGCACGCCTCAAAGAGCCATCAGACCACCACAGATGGGGCCCAATAGGGTCAATGCCGATTCGGAGTCGCGGAGAACCTAACGGGTAACCGGGGCTCCGACTCGACGTGCAGGAGAAGGAACGGGGGGGTTTTTAGTCAGTAAGAGTCTGACACTAAGACAGGAGCAATTATTCGATGATTTTTCCCCCCTTAAAAAAAAACCTTCGGTAACTGGCTTAGCTGATGACGATATGTATAATTATATAATTCCAGATGGTGGTGCGACGTGGAGCTGGTGGGCGCGGGCTGGTGTATAGCGGCGCACCGCGCCATACTGTCCGCGCGCTGCACCTACTTCAGGGACCTACTGCAGCGATATCCGCCGTCAGTATACTGCATTATATTACTGTATACTACCTACTCGCGCAGTTTCACCCTCTGCTTGGCTCCTATTGGTCGTAGCGTGATGTTTTATAGCCTATAGCCTTCCTCGATAAATGGACTATGGAACAATAAATGAATTTTTCAAATCGAACCACATAGTATACATTGAAATTAGGTTTTTTTTTATAGGATAAGCCGGTAAACGAGTTGTCGGATCACCTGATGGTAAGCAATCGTCGTCGCCCATGGACACACGAAACACCAGAGGCGTTACAAGTGCGATACCGGTCTTTTGGTGATGAGGAATTTCAGGATTGTTAGGGATTCAGAGATAAGAAAAGGAGGGGGAGGGGTTGCGCAATAGTGACAATGTTTGCGCAAGTACTATAACTTTAGCGCAAGTACTTATCTATGTTTTCGTATCGCAGGTCGTGTTGCCGGGTGCCGCTAGAGGGCGCGGGTGCTGCGTTATCCCGCGAGGAGATGGAGGCCGCCGTGCTAGCGCTGTACGCTGGACCTCAGCCTTCTAGGGGACCCTGCGCCGCTTGCGCCAGTCAGTATACTGTTATATCATTTTACGTGAGACTCAGATATCTCGCGACAAGATTTTATTTCATTTCAATAAGGGATGATGACGTGAACATTAAAAATCTAATTAGTCCATCAGTTAGCATATCATAACATCGCGCTTTTTTATCCTCGAAGGGCTATACCTTCGGAGATGCCTAAACAGAGGTGCACTTAATGTCACTGTAATGTAACACCCACTTTTCACTATTTATGTTATGAGTTCCATGTAATAGGGGCCTAGGGCTCTAAGGGGTGAGCCTATTGCCATATACCGGGCACAATTCCATACTCCGTGCTACTACTGATAGCTATGATATACATAATGTCAATACTAGAGGTAATATACACATATGGAGTATGGAATACAAATATGTTGTTGTTACCACTTCTAGACTTAAGAAAATAAGAGGTTCATGTACATGTCAGTGCCGCTTTTACAATAAAATTCCCAGCCATAATCAAAATTTACATACATACATAACTTTTCTCCTGTCTCCCATGGGAATATAGAATCTCATCATCATCAACAGCCTATAAATGTCCCCTGCTGAGCAAAGCCACTTCTTACACGGAGAAGGTTTGAGCATTACTCACCACGCTTGCTCAATGCGGGGGCGATTTGAAACTTATGATTAGAAATTACAAGTCCAGGTTTCCTCACGATGTTTTCCTTCACCGTTTGTCAGTGGTGTCTAGATAACTCGGAAAAAGTCACATTGGTACTTGCTGTTGGTAGCTTTCGAACTCGTACACTCATGCATGAGATGTGGGCGTCTTAAACCTACGGGCCACCACGAAGAGAATATAGAACGCTGAAGTAATAGTCAGAAGTTAAACAGAATAAATCACAATGTGGACCAACAGTCGTATTATTCATTTATACCAGCTTCCCCCCATCTCATAGCAGAGACTATATTCAAAATTTGAACTTAAATTTAAAAATAATTAAAGCACTCTTTGGGTCAGCAGTGGACATTTGTAGGCTGTTGATGATTTGTATATGTATCAATCAATATTTGTTGTTATGTTTGTGTTTACAGAGTGGGACCGCGCAGGTCCCGCGGACGGGGACCTGGACATCATCAACGGAGACAATACTGGCAGTGAGTACTGTAATATATTATGAATTTTAATTAAATGTGTACTCGCCATGCTTCGGCTCTGTTGGGTCGGCTCGAACGGAGTGATACCGACGTACTCCATACTGACACTGGGTTGTGTGACGTCGAGTGACTGAGGGCACTGGAGGCCCAGCTATCCCTTCTCCTTCCCCTTGGGGATTGGTGGGGGAGGGGGGGTTAATGTCTTGTAACGCCTCTAGTGTTCCGTGTGTCCATGGGCGACGACGATTGTATACCATGAAGTACACTATTATTGAGTTGTATAATACTACACATACATACATTGGACTATTGACATATCGCGGGTTCGATTCCTGCACGAAGCAACTCTTTGTGTGATCGACAGATTGTTGTTCCGTGTCTGTGTGTCATGTGTATGTGAACTTGTATGTTTGTAAACGTACTCATGACACAGTAAATCCCAGAGTGACGCAATGTTCTTTTAAAGTTAGTCTTGCGCCACGTGTTGCCAGCGACGTCGCCGGACTTTGGTCTTCCCGTCTGGCAACATCAACGTCGCTGTGGACATAAAGCGCGCGTTGTCGCCTTATAATATGTCGGACGATATCGGCCGGCTTCGTTAGATATGTCGCCGTTATATGTCTTGGGACATTTGTCACCTAGTGTATCCTTGGCTTGAAGATATGAAGAATAATGTCGCTCTGTCCCCCCAGCGTGGCGCAGTGTGGGCGGGGGCGCGTGCGGGTGCGGGCGCGGGGGCGCGGGCGGGGGCGGGGGCGCGGTGGAGCCCGCACTACTGCGCCGCCTCGCCTCGCTGCTGGGCTTCTCGCCCGACGCCCTGCACCACGACATGAGATACCTGCTCGACTCCGGTAACTTACTGCTCGCCTTCTATTGATCGTAGCGTGATGTTTTATAGCCTATAGCCTTCCTTGATACATGGACTGTCTAACGCAAAAAGATTTTTTGAATAGAAGCTGTACAGTCTTCAACGGTACATAGATGTTTTGCTGACATTAAGATCGGTACGATCGCGCGATATTGCTTAGGTATATAATCACATGTCAAGTAATTATCGAGCGAGAGTGTGTTTTTACTAACAACGAAGTAAACACCTAATGAGAAAGGAATCGCCAACTGTGCTATACTGTACTACACTTGGGTGCAATAAACTTTATAGTTACATTATCCGAGTGATCTTTTCTCTGCACACTCCAACATCAACTACAAGTATACGAATTGTACAGAAGCAGTAGTTTCGAAGATTCAAATAAACGAATTCTTTTAGTATTGTTTCTGCCTGACTTCGGTACTGTAATCTCTTGTATTGTGTCATATCGATACTTTATGGCTCAAATGGGGTTCAAGCCAAAACTCAGTTTTACAGAGGAGCCAAAAAAGTTAATAATTTTACTTATGTGAAATGTAGGAAAAATATTTTAAAAATAAGTTAGGTATCCCTCAAAAAGAAGGTTGATTTAAACCAAAATGTCACTTATATTAGCTTAGAGGTTCCTTAAAATTTAGGAAAGATTAGTATAAACGGGTATTGAAGTGGTATTTTTTGGCTACAATTATTTTTGTTGCCTAATAGCCGACCGTCACATTCGTCAATATGTTGTTAATGTTACAGGCAAACTCTTAACCAGTCGAAAAGTACTTTTGACTATTATCTTAATCAACAATGTTATGGACAGTCAAAAGTAATATTGACTGGTTAAGAGTTTAGACTGTAACTCCTTGCGCCTCTCGCTCATCGAAACGTGATGGTTGGTCCATTCCAGGCGAGCTAGCGGACACGCGGCTAGTGTTCCGCCTGGAGACAGGTTGTGGCGCCGCCTACGGGTTCCGCACCGCGCTGGAGCTGCCCTGCCACCGGCTACTGCTGGCGGCCAGGTCCAGGTTCTTCAGGTATACTGCCTGTATATATTGTGTTATACTGTGACTGGACCATGTACACTATACAGCGACTCTACCTACAGGAGCGTCATGTCCCGGCGCGGCTCGGCCGGCGGGGGCGCGGGCGCGGGTGGGGGCGCGGGCGGGGGCGCGGTGGGTGCGTGGTGCGTGGACGAGAAGGTGCTGCCGCGCAGGTTCGCGCGCGCATTACTGCACGCTGCCTATACTGACACTGTGAGTATAGCGGGGGCGGGGGGGCGGGCGGGGGCGCGGTAGGTGCGTGGTTTTACTCATTGGGTCAAGTTGTCACCTTATTGACATTCCTTCAAAAACAATTACAAAGACTTCTAGATTAATTGTTATGTTCTCGGCTTACTCACGTAACTGTTTGACGAGGGGTTCGACTAATTTCAAGCCATGCTAGAGGCTCATATTCATGAAACTAGTCGAACTCCAGTCGAGTCGAGTCATAATAATTTATTTATAATGTCTCACGAAAGTAGTAATATATTTAAAGACTCCTGTTTCGCATTGATTTTGTTTATAATCTGAGCTTCTAACAAAGGTATTGTCCTATTGCAGGTGGACCTGTCCCTGATAGGGCGTAGTTCGAGCTCCCCCTCCTCCACCAACTCTACGGGCAGCGGGACCACGGTAAGTCTACCTGATTATGTTGATATTGCTGTATGTTCTTCCAGCTTTCCACCAATTTTTGGGAGTATCAGGCTCTCAAAGGTAAAATCATTAATTTCAATTAGACCAGGAAGGCATTTTTAAACATCAACAAAATATTTAAAGTGAAGCTATTTGCTATTTCCACGGTGTAGCTTCTTATGGAGAGGAACGAGCAAGAAACTCTTAGTGACTAAACTTCACCACGTTTCGACTGAACGCCGTGCTCTTCGAGCCGGAGCCCCGGTAACCGTTTACGTTCTCCGCGGCTCCGTATTGGCATCAGCCCTGTTGGGCCACATCCGTGGCTGTTTGAGACGCGCGTGGAACGCTCGGCGCCGTACGCTGGGGTCTGGTTCTGGTCGGGCGGCGAGCTATCCCGCGATCCCCGACACCCGGAGTGTCCTTCGCGACGGCTGGGCTGTGAGGACGCGGCCCGCCTCCTCCTCCGGCATCCCAGTCCTCTTCGCATCTTGGCCCGGACGCCGTCGCAGAATTTCAATAATAGTGTTCAAAGATGTTGACGTCTGAAGGATATTTTTGTACAACGTTCTTCTTAGTCGATTTCCTCACTGCTGAGGATCGTGACTCCCTCTGATTCTGCTCACTAGATGTCGCCATTCACTCGTTACGTTGCTTGATGCATTGCAACATTCGTAGGTATCTCCAGCTCCTTGGATATTTGGTCAGACCACCGTATGGGGGTCCGGGCTCTCGGTCTCTTTCCTTCTACCTTACCAGTCACTATGAGGCGTTCCAAACTGCCATCCAGACCACAATCCTTTGCAAGCAAACTGGACAAGCGCTGAGTTTAGTCCATTTTTAGCTTTTTTTTTATGGCATAAGCCGGTAAACGAGCAGTCGGATCACCTGATGGTAAGCAATCGGCGTCGCACATGGACACCTAGAACACCAGAGGCCTTTTGGGGATTAGGAGTTTGAGGGTCGTTGGGGATTCAGGGATTGGGGAGATTAATTGGGCCTCCGGTAACCTCACTTACACGAGGAAACACAACGCTGTGGTTGTTTCACTATGGTTTTCTGGTCGTTGGTGGTATCACTCCGGTCGAGTCGGCCCAGTAGTGCCGAAGCATGGCTCTCCCACACTTAAACTCTTTAAAGCTCTTACAGAACAGAAACATTTGTACGGTAAGCTGTCCACGGTATCCCCAGCATCCTGCGAAAACACCACATTTCAAAAGCGTCGATTTTCTGCTTGAGGCGGCCTTGTTTTGTACAACGTATATTGATTTAAAAGCATATATTTACTATTAACGAATCGATTTAATTTTTTTTTGTTAAAAGTATGTCGTCGTATCGTCGGTCACATCATCGCTTACCATCAGGCGAGATGGTGGTCAAACGTCGACCTATAAAGTATAAAAAAAAAAATATTAGTCAGTTACAAAACTAACAGAATACATCGTATATTCCAGGCGTGGTCCGGTGTAACTCGTAGTGGCAGTCGTCCAGTCACCGCCGCCATGTTGGATGACGCCTTCCAGCTGTATGAGATAGCCAGGTACACACATACATATATTTACGAAACTTACTGTAAAACTCCCTGAAACTAGAAAAGACAATAAATGGTGATAAAGATAAAAGGAAAACATCGCGAGGAAACATGAACTTATAATTATTTCTAATTATAAGTTTGAAATCGTCAACCCGCATTGAGCAAGCGTGGTTATTAATGCTCAAACCTTCTCCGTGTGAGAAGAGGCCTTTGGTCAGCAGTGGACACTTATAGGCTCATGATGCGATGCGTACATTATGTTATTTTGCTTGCAAACTTTGCTTAACTTGAGACATCATCTGTTGTCATCGTCTTCCATGTGGGTCGCCACATACATGGCCCGGTAAACGAGCAGACGGATCATCTGATGGTAAGCAATCTTTGCCTCCCATGGACACACTTAACACTGGAGGAGTCTCTAGGTGCCGCACGAGGGAGTGTTACGCTGAAATATTCAAAGGCTACTCAAGTTTAAGTCACGCTTATGTATAGTTCTGTCTCCACAATTTCTTTGTAAAATGACAGAGACGGCACTATATTTAAGTACAATTTAAAATTAAGTAGCGTTTCAGTATTCGGGCGATAGACTCTTACTGATTGACTACAAATCGAACTGAAGTATGCCTTGGTAAGTTTTGACGCTTTAATCGCATCCTCGGTCGGGCATCGGTTCTAGCGAGTCCCATCTGGGTGCAATTGCATCAATCCAATTTCAATTCAATAAAATCCCAATAATTATTCAATGTCAACACTATACAACCACAATCGTAGCTGTTACAATAGCATTCAGAGTACGGAATAAATACAAACTCAATACCATTTAGTTCATTCAATATCCGCGCAATACGGATGCAATGGGCGTTAGTGTTGTGACTCAAGAGTACGACACAATATCAATGTCGATCGATCGGAATTGGATTCAAGAGTAAGCCCCCTGTAGTGGTCTGATCCCTCTAAGTTTTTTCTTGTTACGTTTCCAGGTTTCTCGAAATGCCGATAGTGGTCCAAGGCTGTGAGGATGCCATAGTAGAAGCTCTGACCCCGGAGTGTCTGCCGCATGTACTACGCTGGGCGGCACAGCCACACGCCAGCCACTGGGTGCACAGGTATCTGCTCGGCTCCTATTGATCGTAGCGCGATGTTATATAGCCTATAGCCTTCTTTGATAAATGGACTATGTAACTCAAAAAGAATTATTCAAATCGGACTAGGCGTTTCGGAGATAAGCGTGTTTGATTAAACATATTCTATTGCTGTGTAATATTGAATGTGCTATGTAGAATATTATATTTTAGTGATAATCATATGCTACGTCGTAGAATATTCTCGTAGCACAGGGTTACGGCGTAGCAGCATTGAGCATGCTACGCCGTAGACCATTCGCAATTTGTTGCAAAGTACTACGTCGTAGGCGATGCGTAGTATTGTTCTAGAGCGTAGCATGTTCGAATATTTTTAGGCTTAAATTTTTTGTTGCAATCTTTATAATGTTTTTAAGTATGTTAATAAATTAAGTTGTAAATATTGTTCTATTTCTGTCATTTCACAAAGAATTTGTAGAGACAGAATTATTGTTGAGAGCGTCTTAAAATTGAGTGATGTATTTGAGAAATATTGGCTTTCTTTTTCTGTGGGAGAAGTCTGTCGGAGCATCCCAAAACCGTTGCGTGAGTAACAGTGACTTATGGTCGTTTTTGTTAGTTAACTTTAATTACCATCTCACTAAGAGTTACTTAGCGTGACGTAGCACATAAATTAATCCGTTACTTGTACTGGTAGGTGACATTTTTAGGTTTTTCAAAAACGTATCAGGTTTCTTGGAATTTAAAAAGAGATTGTCTCGTATGTATACGTATGTGGTAATGGAACTGGAATGATGATGTCGCAGACAAGCCATGCGCTACCTGCGCGACGAGTTCCCGACGATCATGTCGTCGGGCAGCTGCGGGCGCGTGCCGGGCGGCGCGCTGGGCGAGGCGCTGGCGTCCCCGTTCCTGCAGGCCGGCGAGGCCGTGGCGCTGCGCGGCGTGCTGCGCTGGGCCGCGGCCGCCCGCACGGCCGGCCGCGCGCC